AACCCAAACCTTATACGTTCAATGTTTAAGGAATTGGACCCGTTAGATAGTAATCTAAGAACCCGAAGTATCACAAACTTAACACAACAAGAACAGTCTTGAAATGTCAAGAAAATAGTTCTAAGAAGAACCAATTTTGAGAGAATAACTCACAAAGTTTTAATTTATAAATTCTGATTACAAATGAATAACAAAGCTTATTTAAAAGTTTGAAAGTGTTTTGGCTGATTGATAACAGCTTGTAATGTGCCAGCCTTGCTCCTTCTAAGACATGATTTACACATAATTAATATGAAATAATAGGTACTTTTTCGGTGGAAATGTAGGAGGCATGTATCATGGCCGAAATGCACTTGTTCTTCTTCAAGTTGATGCTTAAGTGGAACCACACAAGTTGCACATGGTGTGCTGGCACGCACATGGGTTCTGTTTTGTTCCAAATCATGCACATGGGTGTTGTTTTGTTCCAAATGGTGAGTTACACTCCTTCACGTGATTTGCTGGCCATGTGGATTCACATGGGTGTTCTTAGAAAAATCTGGTAGTGATTGCTTGTGTGTGCTGGCCATGTGCATTATTAGGAGACAAGATTGAATCAATGCACATGGGCTGTTTTTGTGCCTTTGTTCTTTATTGAACATGGGTTGTCTTTGTGCAATCTATATGAATGATCTTCAAACCAGCAAATACACATGGGTTTCCTTAGTGTTAGTTGAATGTGTGAATTGTTTATAATGCTATTTTCTCCATTCATCATGGTTTGCCATGTAAATGGGCTGGAATTATGTTGAAAACTTCATTAAAAACCGTTCATCATGGACAGATCACTTGTGTTCCTACATGATAAAATAACATTGTTAATTTAATAGATAGTGGTCTATTGTAGACGCACACTTGCTGTCCTTGTGCCTTTGTTCCATGAAAAACACATGATAACCTAGATGAAAGATGAAAAAATGCTAGATGAAAGTAAACATGAATAACACGTGAATTGCCATATGAAAAGATGAATGTAAACACTATATGCAAATATGAACTACACGTGATATGTATGCAATGCAAATATAACTATATGCATTAAATGCTCATACTAAGTTATTAACTGTCGATACATTATATAACTTAACGTCGGAGGGTGTCAAGTTATCAAATGAATCAAAAGTCTCAAGACACTTAGTTAGGAGTACTTCCCTGAATTGTTTGGCCTTCGATCTGGTAATGGGACATTGAGGCATGACTTCGAGATCTGATGTGGGCGTGATCACATCATCCCCCCTTCTCTAAAGCGATTTGTCCCCAAATCGTCTTCATCTTCAAAGGGTGTCAAGTCTGCAATGTTGAATGAAGCACTAACGCCACCAAACTCACTGGGCAACTCTAGCTTATATGCATTGTCATTGATATTTTCCACAATCTGGAATGGGCCATCTCCTCGAGGTAATAATTTGGATCTTCTTTGATTTGGAAACCTCTCCTTTCTAAGTGTACCCAAACCCAATCTCCTACTTCAAACGTTACCTTTTTCCTTCCTTTATTGCTTGCTGCTCATATTGTCTAGTTCTTTCAATATTGTCCTTGACTTGTTGATGGAGTTTCTTAACAAATTCTGCCTTGTCCTTTCCATCTTTGTTCACTATTTGATCACAAGGTAAAGGAAGTAAGTCTAAAGGAGTTAAGGGATTGAAACCATACACTACCTCAAATGGAGAAAATTTTGTCGTCGAATGTTTGGTTCGATTATATGCAAACTCCACGTGTGGTATACATTCCTCCCAAGTCTTGATGTTCTTCTTGATTATCGATCTGAGTAATGTTGATAAGACTCTATTGACGACTTGTTTGCCCATCCGTTTGAGGATGACAAGTAGTAGAAAAGAGTAGCTTTGTGCCATCTTACCCACAAAGTCCTCCAAAAGTGGCTCAAAAATTTGACATCTCTATCCGATACAATGGTTCGAGAAGTCCATGTAACCTTACCACTTCTTTGAAGAATAAGTTTGCAATGTGAATAGCATCATCAGTTTTGTTACAGGGTATAAAATGAGCCATTTTAGAAAATCGGTCAACCACTACATATATCGCATCCTTCCCATTTTTGGTTCGAGGTAAACCTAAAACAAAATCCATAGAGACATCTACCCATGGTGTGGTTGGTATTGGCAATGGTTGGTATAGCCCATGAGGCTTGACCTTTGATTTTGCCCTTTACAAACTAGACACCTTTCACATACCTTTTCAACATACCTCTTCATCTTTGGCCAAAAGAGGTGTTCTTCAAGATGTTAAGTGTCTTTTCAAAGCCAAAGTGTCCCATAAGTCCCCCTTCATGTGCTTCTTTGGTTAACACTTCTCGCATGGATCCTTGTGGAATACAAAGTCTACCTTCCTTGAAAAGATACCCTTCATGTTGATAATATTTTTCGTGAGCACCTGTTTCACATAACTTATATATCTCTCCAAATTCCAAGTCAGTAGCATAATGTTCTTTAATAAATGAAAAACCAAGGAGTTTGGAATCCAAAGTATTAAGTAGCACATACCTGCGCGAAAGAGCATCTGCCACAATATTATCCTTTCCTCTCTTATAGCGGATAACATAGGGGAATGATTCAAGGAATTCAACCCATTTGGCATGTCTCTTGTTGAGCTTGTGTTTTCCCTTGATGTGTTTTAACGCTTCATAGTCAGTGTGTATCACGAATTCCCTTGGCAATAAGTAGTGCTGCCAAGTCTCTAATGTTCGAATGAGTGCATACATCTCCTTGTCATAGACGGGATAATTCAAAGTTGCACCATTTAGCTTTTCTCTAAAGTAAGCGATTGGTTTTCCTTCTTGACTCAAAACAGCACCAATCCCAATTCCGGAGGCGTCACATTCAACTTCAAATGTCTTCTCAAAGTTTGGCAAGGCTAATAAGGGAGCCTTTGTCAAATAATCCTTGAGTTCCTTGAATGCTTCATCTTGTTCTTTGCCCCAACAGAAGTTTGAATTCTTCTTAATAATCCCGGTTAAGGGGGCGGCGATTGCACTGAAGTTCAGTACAAACCTTCTATAAAAACTGGCTAATCCATGAAAGCTTCGAACTTGACTTACGTTGACTGGTTCTGGCCATTCTTGAATTGCCTTAATCTTTTCCGGATCAACTGCTAGTCCCTGTGAACTAACAATGAAACCTAGAAGGTAACTTGGTCAGTACAAAAAGCACACTTCTTGATATTAGCATATAATGCTCTCCTCTTAAGGTGCTTAGAATAATCCTTAAATGTTCAACATGTTCGCTCAAGGATTTACTGTAAATTAAGATATCATCAAAGTAAACAACACAAAACTTACCGATGTAAGGCCGAAGGACATGATTCATTAGACGTATAAAGGTACTGGGAGCATTAGTTAAGCCAAAAGGCATGACTAACCATTCATACAAAACCTTGTTTTGTCTTAAATGCAGTTTTCCACTCATCTCCTTCCTTCATCCTAATCTGATGGTAGCCGCTTTTCAAATCAATTTTGGAGAAGATGTTGGCTCCACTAAGTTCATCAAGCATATCATCCAATCGAGGTATAGGATGCCTATATTTGATAGTGATCTGGTTTACAGCTCTACAATCCACACACATTCTCCAAGTTCCATCTTTTTTTGGTACCAACAAAACTGGTACAACACAAGGACTTAAACTTTCTCGAATGTATCCTTTGTCCAACAACACTTTGACTTGTTTCTGTAACTCCTTTGTTTCATCGGGATTACTCCGATAGGCTGGTCTATTTGGAATGGTAGCTCCAGGAATGAAATCAATTTGATGTTCAATTCCTCTAATTGGTGGTAATCCATCTGGGATTTCTTCAGGAAACACATCTTCAAAATCTTGCAAAAGAGATGCAATAGATATAGGTAAATCAGGGGGAATTTTAGCCAACAAACAATGCTCTTTATACATTAAAATGAGTAAAGATTGTTGAGAGGAAAGACATTTCCTGATTTCTTTTCTGCTCGCATAAACGTTTATCTTTTTCTTCCCCTTTGCTTCTTCATTGTTCTTCTTCAGGCGAACTTGATCTTCTTGTACTTGACTTGGTGTCAAAGGGGCTAAGGTAATTTGTTTTCCTGCATTCACAAACGAATATCTATTTGTGAAACCATCATGCATTACCTTCTTGTCAAACTTCCATGGACGTCCAATAATAAATGAGTGGCATCCATCGACACAACGTCACACATTACTTCATCCTTGTATTTTCCAATGGAAAATGGTACAAGAAACTTGTTTGGTGACCCTTAATTCTCCAGCATCATTTAACCATTGTATTTGTATGGATTGGATGCTTTGTCGTCTTCAGACCTAGTTTGTCAACCATAACAGTACTTGCAACGTTAGTACAACTACCGCTATCAATAATCACAACACATACCTTGTCATTCACAAGACATCTTGTGTGAAAGATGTTCTCGCGCTGTTGCTCATCTCGGATTGGTTGTGCATTCAAGCTTCTTTTAACCACAAGTGCTTCTCCAGTTGCATAAGTCTGTACTTGGTCGTCATCTTCATCATCGTCCACCAAGGGGGTGTCTTGCTCATCATTGTCAGATTCGGACTCTATTTCCCCATTCACTCGTGTCATCATTGTCCTTCGGTTAGGACACTGACTTGCAACATGCCCTCTACCAAGGCATTTGAAACATTGGATGTCTCTTGTGCGTTCTGTTTGTATCTGTTTCTTTCCACGTCCATTTTCAACAATGGGAGGTTTTGGACTACTCGTTTATGCTCTTTCCTTAATCTTAAATGGTGCTTGCTTCCTAACATTATTAGGAGAAACAGATGGATTAAAGGAAACTTTAGAAGGAGTATTACCTCGGTAAGAAGACTTTCTACGCTGTTGTCTTTCAATTTTGAAGGCCATATGCACCATGTCATCCAACTCGACATAATGATGTAACTCAACAACGTTAGCAATTTCAAAATTCAACCCTGCAAGAAACGTGCCATAGTTGCTTCTTTTCCTCCATGTTTGCACGCATCATGGCCATTTCCATTTCCTTGAAATAATCTTCAACACTTTGATTACCCTGTTTCAAGTTTTGTAACTTCTGAAATAAATCACGTTGATAATGAAATGGAACAAACCGTTTCCTCATGATTCGCTTCATTTCTATCCATGTGTTTATTGGACCCTCACCGGTTCTTCGTCTACTGATCAACAATTGATCCCACCAAATGAGAGCGTAATCAACAAACTCCATTGCTGCCAAACGAACCTTCTTTTGTTTCGAGTAATTATAACACTCAAAAACATGCTCAACGTTACTCTCCCATGCCAAATATGCATCGGGATCTGTTCGTCCCTGAAAATATGGAATCGCAACTTTTATATTAGCCAAATTATCATCAAGTGTACGTCCATGTCTCTGATTTGGTCTTAGAGGTTGGTCAATTTCGTTTTCATCATTAATCTCTTCATTATGATGCGTTTGAGATTCTCCTTCAATCTTATCCATTCTAGAATGTAGAGTCTCAAGTTCAGCCCTTATCATCCTTTGTATCTCACATGTAATGGCTTGTATTTGCAAATTTGGTGGTTGGTCACCCGGATGGTTATCACTAGAGCCTGCCATATTAATCAAATAAAACAAAACAACACACAAAGAAGATAATTAATGTATATAGGTCCTTACAATATACACACAAAGATTCTCACAATTTCGCTCCAAAGAAATCAGAATTGACACTCAATCACTCAACACTCGTGTTTCACTCGGGAGAAACTTTTAATGGCTCTTTTCTATCTCCCCTTCTGATCTCACACACTCAATGTGCCTTTTCCACTCGTTCCCTCGTAGTCAGTTCTTTTACGAACTAAATTCGATCTTTCAAAAATATCTGTCAAGTGTGTCGGCTATAGGAAATAATAAAGATTAAAAGAAACTGGAAAATAATGAAATGAAGCCTAAAAATTCAAAGGAAAATAAAGAAAGGAAGATGAAAATAATTAGTAAACTTACTACATAGAAATGCTTACAACGAGACTGTCACCAATACAATCAAAGTTATTGCATTTTGGATTGAATCAAAGCTCAAAGCATTTCAATATTGAAGAACACAACATTATAGCATTTCTCTTCATCTCAAGACCAGAACTTTTCTTTTTTCTTTTTTTTTTTTAATTTTCGGAATTTGTTTTTTTTTAATTTTCGGAATTCTCTTTTTTTTTCAAGATGAATTTCTTACTTGGTTCACCTTTGCTCTGATTACCATATGATACGAGTCAGTCCGTCGATTGAGGACTTCTTCGATTGTACCGGATCTAGAACGAAGTAAGCAATTCCTCGGCAGCAAACTTACTCGATATTAAGGATGATGTTGGGGTTATATGGATATGGTTATGAACGAAATTTGAATAAGGAATGATAATTGATAGATGAGGTAATGGAATTTGTGATGGTAGAAATTTGAATATAACAAGGAACAAGGAAGAACTTATACTAAAAGAGTATAAACCCAAACCTTATACGTTCAATGTTTAAGGACTTGGACCCGTTAGATAGTAATCTAAGAACCTGAAGTATCACAAACTTAACACAACAAGAACAGTCTTGAAATGTCAATAAAATAGTTCTAAGAAGAACCAATTTTGAGAGAATAACTCACAAAGTTTTAATTTATAAAATTCTGATTACAAATGAAATAACAAAGCTTATTTAAAGGTTTGAAAGTGTTTGGCTGATTGATAACAGCTTGTAATGTGCCAGCCTTGCTCCTTCCTAAAGACATGATTTAACACATAATTAATATGAAATAATAGGTACTTTTTCGGTGGAAATGTAGGAGGCATGTATCATGGCCGAAATGCACTTGTTCTTCTTCAAGTTGATGCTTAAGTGGAACCACACAAGTTGCACATGGTGTGCTGGCACGCACATGGGTGCTGTTTTGTTCCAAATCATGCACATGGGTGTTGTTTTGTTCCAAATGGTGAGTTACACTCCTTCACGTGATTTGCTGGCCATGTGGATTCACATGGGTGTTCTTAGAAAAATCTGGTAGTGATTGCTTGTGTGTGTGCTGGCCATGTGCATTATTAGGAGACAAGATTGAATCAATGCACATGGGCTGTTTTTGTGCCTTTGTTCTTTATTGAACATGGGTTGTCTTTGTGCAATCTATATGAATGATCTTCAAAACAGCAAATACACGTGGGTTTCCTTAGTGTTAGTTGAATGTGTGAATTGTTTATAATGCTATTTTCTCTATTCATCATTGTTTGCCGTGTAAAGGGGCTGGAATTATGTTGAAAACTTCATTAAAAACCGTTCATCATGGACAGATCACTTGTGTTCCTACATGATAAAATAGCATTGTTAATTTAATAGATAGTGGTCTATTGTAGACGCACACTTGCTGTCCTTGTGCCTTTGTTCCATGAAAAACACGTGATAACCTAGATGAAAGATGAAAAAATGCTAGATGAAAGTAAACATGAATAACACGTGAATTGCTATATGAAAAGATGAATGTAAACACTATATGCAAATATGAACTACACGTGATATGTATGTAATGCAAATATAACTATATGCATGAAATGCTCATACTAAGTTATTAACTGTCGATACATTATATAACTTAACGTCGGAGGGTGTCAAGTTATCAAATGAATCAAAAGTCTCAAGACACTTAGTTAGGAGTACTTCCCTGAATTATTTGGCCTTCGATCTAGTAATGGGACCTTGAGGTATGACTTTGGGATCTGATGTGGGCGTGATCACATCATGACTCGTGAGGATTTGTGAGAGTATATTCTGGTAAGGTCTTTTACACATCTTATTCTTTTCTTATTTCACTAACCATGTCTCGGAGTTTAGGACGATCCCCAGAAAGAGAGAAGCCCCTAACTTGCAGACTCAAGCTATTATGCACAAAATGGCATGATTGTTGAAATTAGAATTGAAGCCTTTTCAAGATCGTATGGATCAATTAGAAGCATCTTTAGGCAACCGGAGAGTAAACCGCCCTAGAATGGAAGAAGACTTAGAAGAGGAAGAGGCTGAAGTAACATCAGTAGCAAGGAGAGATGTTCATCGAAATCAAAATGACAACTTCAGCAACATCAAAGTGACTATTCCTTCATTTGAAGGACGAACTGATCCAGAAGCCTATCTTGATTGGGTAATCAAAATTGAACACATTTTTGAATGCCAAAACTATACAGAGCAAAAGAAGGTTAGGCTTGCTGCTATGGAATTCATGGACTATGCCTTAGTTTGGTGGGACCAGTTGGTGAGTTCAAGAAGACGAAATGGTGAACACCCCATCACAACATGGGATGAAATGAAGGCCTTTATGAGGAAAAGGTTTGTTCCTACTCACTATCACCGATATCTTTATCATAAATTACAAAATTTGAAACAAAGAAGCAAGAATGTTGAAGATTATTTCAAAGAAATGGAGATTGCCATGATCCGAGCCAATGTGGATGAAGATAGAGAAGCAACAATGGCAAGATTCTTATCTGGCCTAAATCTTGATATTGCTAACCTTGTTGAACTTCAACATTATGTAGAGATTGAAGAAATGGTGCATGTGGCCATGAAAATTGAAAGACAACTCAAAAAGAAATCATACACTAGGAGCAGTCCAAATTCGGCCACCAAATAGAAGCAAGAACCTATTACTTTCCGAAAGCAAACTCCAGTCCAAACAAAGGATCGTGCAGAGGTACCTAAAACTACACAAGTGGGTGAATCTAGCAAGGGTAAAGAAAAGCAAACCAACACTTTTGAGAGATCAAGAGACATCAAATGTTTCAAGTGTTTTGGAAAAGGACATGTTGCTAGTCAGTGCCCAACCGAAATACCATGATGGTGCTTGACAATGGAGATATTGTATCAGATTCTGATGAGCCTACTATTTTTGACGAGGAACCTGAAACAATACAAGAAGAAGAAACGGAAGAAAATGCAGATCATGGTGAGATGCTTGTTTCAAAGAGGTGCCTACAATCACAAACATCCCAAGATGATATTCAGAGAAACAATATCTTTCATACAAGATGCCATGTCAAGGATAAGGTTTGCACAATGATCATGGATGGAGGAAATTGCACAAACGTAGCCAGCACTCTTATGGTTGAAAAGCTTGGATTGGAACCGTCAAAACATCCTACTCTGATGTAAGGTAATTCTACATTCTCGTTTGATTGTGGATCTAGGAAGGAAGCAAAACAACCTGCACAAGTGAATGGCTCAAAAAGAGAGGGTTAAGGGTGGTGGACGTATGGTGAATAGGTGGGCTGTTTAAAATGAGATATGGAAGCGGAAGATGATTGAAATGGTTATGGTTATGGCGATGAAACAAAAGGATGGTTGTGAGGATAGTATCTTGAAGAACGCTCAAAGAATAACCAATGCTATAGAGAGCAAAGACCCAATCTTTATATTGTTTCTTCAAGGGGTGGTGATAAGTACTTTGACTCACTAGTTATATGAACTAGGAACCAGAAGTATCAAGATGAAAGAAGAGGGTTGACGCCACAAGTATAAATTATACTTGATAAGTCGATAAAAAGTCACCAGGACTTAAGGAAGAGAATAATCTCACTTTAATTAATAAAAATGGTCTTATTACAAATGAAATATAATGGCCTATTTATAGTTTTTAAAGGGACTTGGCCGAATAGGTACATGTTGGTTCGGCCAGCCCTTGTACCTTCCTAAAATGACATGATTTTTAATGAAAAAACAAAACTTTAATGAAAATACATGCTCTTGGCCGAATGGTTATGTGTTGGTTCGGCCCTAAGGATGATTTAAATGCATTTGGAAGTTATTTGGGCACCAAAATGAAGAGGAAAGAGTCTTTGGCCGAATAGGAAGCATCCCTTGGTGTTTTGGCGCCAATTTGATGTCACATGGAGTGCACATGCTTGAATGATGCACATGGCAGCCTATATGAATGCACATGGGTCTTCTTGCTATGCTTTGATGAGGTTGCAACCATAGGATGATGTCTTGAAGTCCATGGAATGAAGTAGGCAACAGCTAGGCGTGAATTAGCTTCCAACATGCATCTAGGTGACATGGCATCCATTGGGCAGCCTAGAGATGAACTAGCTTCAAGGTAAGCTAGGTGAGTGTCTTGGTAGCTAACTAGGTGAGTTATAGCTTGATGAACTCAAGCTAGTTAGCTTTGGTCTTCTCAACTCCTCAGCTACTCTCCCAGCTACTTCCAGCTACCTCTAGTCCACTATTCAGTAATTTGGTCAAAAGCTCTCTTCCAGCTAAGTTCAGCTACATGCTAGCTCATCCAGCTAAGTTTAAGCTCCTTATGTGATGAAATGAGCTGCCATAATGTTCATGAGCTAGTGTGAGTTGCTGTGCTTGTCCTTTTAGCTAGCCAAGCTACCATAATATGCCTTGTTTTGTGTTTCACCTATAGGAATCACCAAACAAATAAAATAAGCAATGTGTGAGCTCATTTAAGGTAAAATGCATGCTGCCGTGAGGTGTTTGAGTGATATGAGCTATGAATGCATGTCATGAGCTAAGTACATAATGATATAATATATGTAAGCTAATGTATAAGACCTAGGAGCTAAAATGAATGCACGTGAGCTAACAAATGAATGATTAAGCATTCTGCCATTTCACGAATGAATTGAATTATGCTTAAATGAATGCAAGACTAACATAACATACTTAACATACTTGAAATAACATTGTGCATCAATTATAAAGATGTGAATGTATGAATATCATATAATATGGTATTCATAAATGATAAATGGAAACATGTAATAATAATATCCTAAGAAATGATATGTAATCATAACATATATTTGAATGATATGATTAACTAAACATAGGATGGAAATAATGATAATTTATACTAACATGTGAATGAATGCTTATGATAGAATAGAATGTATAAATGATATAATATAAGATAGGGTAATGAAGAACTCCCTTAGAAATAGCTATGAAGAATATCCATGGTGTGTTCAAGTCATGGAGAAAGTTGGAGCTAGTTTGGATCGTATCATACTCCATATAAACTCCAATGGCTCAATGAAGGAGGTGAGTTAAATGTTACCAAACAGGTTCTAATTCCTTTCTCAGTTGGTAGGTACAAGGACGAGGTGCTCTGTGACATTGTCCCTATGCATGCTAGCCACATCTTACTTGGGAGACCATGGCAGTATGACAAAAGAACCATTCATGATTGTTTTCACAATCAATACACTTTTAAGCATGATGGACGCAAGGTGACCTTGATGCCTTTAACGCCAAAAGAAGTACAACAGGATCAATTGCATATGCGAAAGAGTGTTCAAGCATGGCGAAAAGACAAAACTCTAACGAAAAATGAAGAGGAACTAAACAAGAAACCAAACTTCTTCATAGAGATACATGATGGTTCAATGCTGGAAAATGAAGGGTCACCAACGAAAAGTGGTGATGTTTGGGACTTAAAGTCACAACTCTTCGTCAATGATTTTAATCTACAAAAGGTAAGTAACCCTTCATATGAAACCTTTTCTCTCCTCACTTTTCAGGACAATTCACGTGAAAGGTCACTTCCAAAAGGGATATCCCTAGATAAAGATCATTCCCAAAAGGTACATG